GGGGGGCGGTGGCCCAAACGCAGCGAGCACAGAGGCACACGCCTTTGGAGGATGAAATGGGAGGGTACCTAGCTGAAGTGGTGCACTGGGAAGAGGTCCTCTGCAGAGGACACAGCCCTGCTTTGCTCATGCGGAGGCACAATCTTGGGAGTCTGTTGCAAACACTGCTTCAGATTCATGCGTCTAACTGTCTATGAAAAGAGTAAGGGCCAGAAATTCAATTAGGAAGAGCAAGGTAGTAAAATGTGGTGGACAGCTGTTAAACAAACAGGAGGTAAGCAAAGCAACTTTGTCGGCATGGCTCCACACGGAATCGCCCTAGTGAGTGTCAGGGGCATGAATGCAGACTGGTGAGAGATAGGCTGGGGCTTTATTCTGCTTGACTGGAATCTAGGCTCCCTGACTGACCTGCTGTATGTTTTATTCCCCCTAGCCTTCCAAATTTCTGTTTTCTCATCTGAGAATTGAACAAGATGATCCTTGTACACAGAGTTTTCAGGGTATCTTGAAAGGTTGCAGCTCACATGCAGAGTGCTGTATGAGATTCTCATTAGGAAGGATGCAACATTATGTTTATGACATGTAATGATAACTGTAAATATGTCACATGAGATAGAGAATATTATGTATGTAATTATGTTAAGAAAAACATTACTTCAAGTCATGGCTTTAAACCTGCTAGTCAGGGTGAGCTGGAGAGATGGCTCAGTGCTTAAGGGATACACTGCTCTAGCAGAGAATCCGAGTACAGCTTCCAGCATCTGGGTCAGGCTGCTCACAACTTACTGTAATTCCAGATCCAGAGGGAACTGACACATCTGGCTTCCAAGGGTATCTGAACTAATATGTACATCCATACCCTTCAGAGTGTACATAATTAAAGATAATAAATTTAAAAAGTAACTGTTTAGCCAGATGTGACAGATCAGAGCTTCAATTATAGCAGTTAGAGGCTGAGGCAGACAGTCCATGGGATCAGCTTGAGCTAAGTGAGATTTTGTTGCAAACAAACAATAGTCATTTCTCATGATTTTGCTAAAAAAAAAAAAAAAAAAGAGCTTCTTGCTGTATTCTTGACAGTAATGGTGCTTCATTTGTTGGAATTAGCTGTCAGATCACCAAGCCTCCAAGTCTACGAAAGTATGAATACAATGCCAGTAACCACTGTTGAGTTACGGATATAACACATCCCGGTATACAGTTCGAAACCCAGGGCTAGGTTTTCTTGCTTGCAAATCGTGAAAAGACCTTTTGTCCCAGATATGTAAAGCTTATTTAACAAAGTGCTTTCCCAGAAGCAGATGAGAGATCTTTCCTGTCCCTTTAGATTCTCAGCAACTGTCTCAGTTCAAGTCACAGAGGTGCTCTTAGGAATGAAGAATGACAACTGTGCTTTACCAGAGAGGCTGCAGATGTCAGAAGGAAATGAATGACGTGGGGAGGGGGCTCAGTAAAAAGAAGACACTGCCAGTCCTGTAGCACTCAATCACAGATGCCACTAACAGGATGCAGGCATCACCCAGGGACCACAGGCGTCTAGGTTCAAAGCCTGGTGGTGGCAAGGTCCTGAGCGCACTGTAGGCTTATTCATCATCCTGACATCTGGAAGGAAAGGGGGTCAGCTAGACCATAAAAATCTGATGTTGCTGCCAATTCCACTCATGTTCAGGCTTTTAACATGTTCCTGATCACAGTGGCTCTCTTTATGGGGCCGGTGAAACAGACCACAGGATTTTATGGATTGGAAAAATTAAGGTGCAACAAGAACCTCTGTGAAGAGAGAAATGACCATCTACCTTTCCAGAATGCAGAAAGCTGCACAGACCTAAGGACAATGATGCTGGCCACTCACAGAGCCACATGCACACCAGGTATTCACATACCAACTGTCTCTTACTGTCTCATGGAAATCTCTGAGGCTCATGGGTGTCACCTCATTTTTATTATTGAGGAGGTCAAGACTGAGTGGGTAGATTAGCAATAGGTGGTCAGTATGAAGTTAGACACTGAATTCACATAGCTCCAAAATTTCCTTTTCCCAAAGAATTGAAATAGGAAGAAGGAAGGAGAAATGCAGAGATAGACAAGTCTTTAGCCTTTGTAGTGAGAAACTGATGCTCTTATAAAATTGTCTTTATTACAGAAATAGAGTAATCCAGAATTAGGCCCCTGATCTACACAAGAAGATGTTATTTCTCCTAACCATTAGACAGTGTGCACTAGTGTGGTGAGACACCAATTAGCTCCATTAGGAAATGCCTGACTTATTTCTTTTACATCTAGTCTGAAGACATCAGCATAAGGAAAATAGTAAACTTCTAATTATTAATAAATGGAAATTTCCTTTTAGAAAAAGAGAAAGTACAAAATAGACACAAGGAAGAGTTAAATATACATCCAGTCTGTGAAGAAAAAATGAAGTACATGATCCCATAGGAGGACACTGACATTTGGCCATAGTATCCAGGTTCTGCCCAAGCTCTTCAGAATGGTTTATCCTTCTCCATGGTTCTGTGCAAGGGGCCACAACAACTGCTGCACAATTATAAATACAATAGTGCCCAGGAAAAAAAAATGTCTAGGGAATGAACCTTATTGGCATGATTCAGAGGTCATTCATGCTACATCATGTAATGCATTCCATCAGGTACGAGGGGAACGCTTCCTTCTGTTTTAATATTTTATCCATTAGACTATATGCTTCTTTTAGAGAAGGCATTTGTAAAACTCATCAATACCCTTCCCACAGCAATGGCGCCACAAGGACAACAGGACTGGCCAGGTCACACGTTGCTTGGAAGGAAGTGTGTGAGCTTGCCGCAGATTCTCAGACTCCAGAGCTAAAGGATGGGAATCTTATTCTATGTTTCTCAGGCAGTTCATGATTCAGAGATGCAGATCAAGGGGCACTGGTAGTCACTGACTACAAGCTAGGTGACACACAGTTCTCTATTGAGAATCAGAGGAGGTAACTCTAGATGCTTACGGATCTATAAGGAAGTCAAGCTTTTGATGAGAGGCATTAGTTTTTAATGAAACAAGCCAGACACTTCCAATCTTCTTCCTCTCCGCACTTTCTCCTTATGTATTTGACTTTGTGTTTGTTGTTAGTTCATTGATGAATGAGAGAGGAGGTACTGAGAAGTGGACTTGTATTTCAAATTTATTTTTTATTTTATGTGTATGGGTGTTTTGCTTCAGTCTATGTGTACCACGTGTGTGCTATGCCCACAGAGGCCAGAAGAGGGCATTGGATCTCCTGGGATTTGGGTGACAGATGGTTGTGAACTACTATGTGGATTTGGGAACCAAACCCAGGTCCTCTGGAAGAACAACTGGTTTTCTTTACTGCTGAGCCATCTTTCTAGTCCCAGATTTGTGAGTGTTTAGAGTCACTGGGGAAGAATTAAGGAAAAATTGGGGCATCTTTTAAATGTAACTTAAGTATGCACAAAAGAGTAGTTGGGAAATCAGACATAAAAATCTAATAATTAACAATCATAAGCATAGATCAATAGATATAAATTAATTTCACACAAGAAGCAAATGCTCTCAACCTGAGGTAATTTGAGCTATAGAGTTTTTCTCCAGGTTTTGGAATGCCTGTACAGAATGAGCTATCTTGGGAATGGGAATTAGAATTCATTTATGCTTCATGTGTACATGCTGTACATACAGCCTGTCTCTAAATAATATTTTAAATAATTTTTATGCTTTAAACAGTCTCCATATGTGGAAACCATATCATAACTGTTGGATTTAGTGTTTTTGATTTGGGGTTGGCATAGTAATCTTGCAGTGCCTCCCCTACTGTTATAGAGAAATGAGAGGCCTCTCCACAATATGACCGGCTCCTGCATACCTCCTCAAATATCAGGCAAAACAGATCAGCTGGGCACTAGAAAGGTGAATCCTGATACACTCTGCAAAACCGTGGTCAGAAAAAGAGGAATGGCATTTGACATTTAGAATTGGTAGCATAGTGGCAGGTGTCCACAGACACTGATAAGAGCAAGTCCATCCTCTATTGACTTCTATCTCCCTCAATTATTTCAGCAATTTCTCCATGAACTACAAACTCTTAAATCCTCATATTATAAGGGAAAACTTTGATGTAGAAAATGGCTCAAGGCAACAAAACTCAAGTAGGCCAAAGAAGTAGTCTGAATTCTTAATCCTTTCACTGTTTGCCTAAGACAGCAGGACATGGTGGAGAACAGGGGACCCAACTGCACTTCCATAATTCCACGTTCTGTAGACTACGTAGCCCTAGAAAAGCACTACTGGTACAGGATTAGTACACATTGGATAAATACAGTCCCTTGGCATCAGCAAAAGATTGGTTTCAGATCTTAGCATGTTTAAGTCCTGGGTATAAAACACAATGGCATAGCATTTGCATACTTATCTGCATATCCTTCCTTAGACATTAACCTATGTCTAGACTGCTTTAATACACAAAATCACACAAGTATGCAGTTATAATACTGTATTTTTTGGTAAATAAGGACTATTAAAAAAATCTCTTCAAGGTAATTTCAGTGTGTTGTGGTTGGCTAGTCAGATGTAGAGCTCATGGATACAGGCAAGCAAGTGTATATTATAAATATAATCATGAGTTTTCTTTTAAACTTTTTTGTCCATAATAAATTATCTGTATGAAACACAAGAATCCAGTCAGTGATGGGGGCACTAACATGATAATCACATGTTGCTTCTTATTTTTATTATGCCACTACCAATGTAAATGTAGACCAATCATTTGTTCTTTATAAAACTGAAGCTTAATCATAAACAAGGTTATACTTATGCTCACATATCATGACCCAGATAAGTATTTTCCAGGAATCAGTAATAGATTGTTAATGTCCATAGTGACAAATTTGGTACGATTGGCTAATCCAACCTGTTGTTGCCATATTCTACTCAAACACATATTCATGGATCACTTTATCTTTCAGTGTGAACATTAAAGTAATTGGCATGCAAAGGTTACATACTATTTTTTTATCATAGGATTCTCCACTGCTGTAGGTTGTGGCCAGTGTAGATGAACATTCTTCCAAGTACCAAGGTTTCTTTCCACTTTCGGCCGTACTGCTGATGGAGATGGTATAGATGCTGTTGGTATAGCCATCACAAGAACAGTGGTCCTTGCTCCGTCCACCATTGCCAGATGCCCACACAAACACAGAGCCAAGGCCTCTCCGCCCCTGTTGACAGACAGAGAATGTTAGAGAGATAAGAAGACAGGACCCTGGGTTGCAGATGAAGAGAGGAGGAGAATCATTACAACAAAGTAGTTGCAGGATGCAAGCAATGCTATTTTAATGAAATGTTGGGCTCAAGCTGCCTTGAAGAGGGAAGGTAAGGGGAGATGCTTTAATAAACAAAATGGCTATAGAAGTATCAAGTACACCAATGTAATTCTAAGAGTGATCAATGTTTACAAATGGAAGATGATTCTAACTGCTTTATAGACTCAGGCTAAAGTTTTTCCACAAACATGTGAGACCAACACAATCTCTGTCACCATGATGCAAATGGGGAACTTGAGGGCCAAGATTTGGTGATATCCTATAGCAATAAAAAGTGTATAGAAGAAAGACAAATTTGAATACAGACCCTTTGAAGTGATATTGTACCAATTATAGCAATATAATAACACTGTTTTAAGTTATCACAAGTACTGTGAAGGGAGGCTATCACATAGTGTCATTTAATATCTGAGAATCAAGAAGTATAAAGCAGCCTCTGCCAACTCCTACTGTGTGTAAAAGTGGTAGTGCCACCTCTCACTTCTCATAATCAGAACAATATGCTCAAAATACCAAGAACAGAGTCATCCTTTACATCAAAACTGTAGCTTAAAATAGCGTTGAGAGAACCGTGAAGTCCTAAATAATATAGTTAACAGCAACAAAGGAGAACATAGATGAATGAAGCAAAGCAGATCTTTGCCTCTTCCATAGATAAATTCCTAAGAGGGGGAACAAAAGAAAAAAGAATTTACAGCCAAAGGTACACTGAAGGATATCTATGGTCAACCTGTTATCTTCTGCTTAGCATGTGAGAAGAAAGCTACAGTGCTGGGGATGGCTGAGCCTTTCTTCAAGGCCATGAGCAGATGGAGAGACACTGTTAAGAGTTGGAGTCTAAAATATCCCTGATGTGGTTTGAGCATTGTTCTACAGCTGATAGCTCTATCTGGGGAGGCTGTGGCTCCTGCTGGAGATAGGGTCTGGCTGATTGAAATAGGGCACACAAGGTGTGGCCTCGGCAGTTTACCACAGCCAAGGTAACCTGGGCTGCCAGGATAACAATGGACAAAGCCAGTCTTCAATACTTTTCCTATAGAATGGGCTAAAACTTTCTGAAACTGAGAGTCAAAAATCATCACCATCACCACCACCACCACCACCACCACCACCACCACCACCAACACCACCAAACCAAAAACCAAAAACCAAAAACCAAAAACCAAAAACCAAAAACCAAA